AGGTATCAGCAAGTGTAAGCAGCAGGTGTAAGTTAGAATCCAGGTGTAAGGCTCCCTGTGGAGACTCCAGAGGAGAATCCTTGCCTATTATAGCTTCTGATGTCTTCAGATAGTCCTTTGCTTGTGGTGCATCATTCCAGTATCTGTCTCCATGGTCACATTGCCTCTTCCTTTTCTCTATGTGTCAAATCTTCTGCTTCACTTTTATAGATATTTGTAATTGGATTTAGGGCTCACCCAGATAATCCAGGATAAGCTTCTCTTTTGAGAAGCTCCTCTTCTCAAAATCCTTTTGCCATGTAAGGTGTTATTCCCAGTTTCCAGGGATTAGGGTGTATACATACATTTTGGGTTCACCATTCAGTCTACTACAGAAGCCAAAATATCAGAAACTTTGTTAGAAATTATGTGTTGTGATGTTCGTAATAGCATACTTCAAAATATATAAAGCCTCCAGCCAAGGAGTATGAAAGAATTGGAAGCACGCATTAAGGTAGATAGAAAGTTGTGATGGAAATCTTGTCCAGGTGTAACTGGTGCTTGCTGACAGTGCATACAAATTTCGAATGTATATTGATGGGTATCCGTAGAACAGTCTCTTCAGAGGACTTGGTACCCCATAAATGCTGCTGCTTTATTTAACAAGACTTTCTCCCCATTATAACCAGGCTGTCTCTTAAATTAGTTGAAGTCTATGGGCTATAAATATAAAAATATGATGCAGCTTGGTTTTAATGCAGCAGGTATAAACTTAAGTGTAAATGCTATGCTTAAAAAATAAAATGTGGTTGACTTTTAGCAGTCTATCTAAAAGGATTTGTGGCAGAGAGGGTAACTTTATTCTAGGCACTTAGCGCCTGTAAAAGCCAGGACTTTTTGGCCATATTTTTAGAGCAGCCTGAGAAGATGTGCCTTATTTGAACTCTCACTGCCTCAGCTGAGTGAATTAAGAAAGTGTTCTATGACCAGCTGGACAAGATCCGGTTTTCTTGGGAACCCCAAGGCTGCAGGAACAATTCCACTTTGCCATCAGTTAACACAGTGTCTTGCCAAGGTGTTGTGAAAAGCTATAACTTTTTTTATTCTTTTAAGCTAGGAATATTATCCTCCTTCTGTACTGGGTCTGGAAGGTGGCAATAAGCTCACTTTTTTCTTTTATTAATACCTTATGAGTTTGTGTCCTCGTAAGGCCCATTTCTTTGAGCCTCGGTTCCACTTTTGGAACTAGAAAATGAATATTTAATTAAGCCAACACATCATGCTATTATATAAGCTTTAGTTAAGAATGTTTATAGGAACCTATTAAAAAGGATCCACTTTCAGGAATACTCGGAACCCTTCTGCAAATTTTAGGGGGCACCTGAAATCTTGTGTAATACTCATAAGCTTTATGAGTTAGAGACCATTTTTTGGGGGGAGTCTGCAACTGTGTTCCTAGCACCTAGAATAAATTAGTAAATACATGAATGCACTCCAAGCACTTTCTCAGAAAGTCCATTCATACTATAGATGAAAAATGACAAGAAAATAAAAATTACCTTCAGGAGTCTTTATTGAAAGTTTGAGATCCACTATTAGCTTAGTGTGACAGTACAGTTGTTGATTAACTGAATCAATTCAAAATTAGTAATAAAATTTTGTGAGAAATACTTATTTTTATCTAATAAAGAAGGGAAATTTTGACTTTCCAGCTTTTCTTCTGGGTAAATGACTATCTCATAGTCTGGGTATAATGTATTACCTGTCAGGGATGCATAATAAATTTATTTTTAAGAACTTTTTGGTAACCAGAAGTCCTGCTATAAACCACATAAAATACTTTAAATTTCTTAAGATTTGTTTAATAAAAAGATAAAATTTTGTGGTGATGTTTTGTGTCTTTCATCTGCATATGTAAATACTTAGTGGCTGACAGGAAATTGTTTGTAGAAATGAAAATTTTTATTTCTTTTAATTATACACATTTTTTCTTTTTGTTTTTGTTTTGCGGTACGCGGGCCTCTCACGGTTGTGGGCTCTCCCGTTGCGGAGCACAGCCTCCGGACGCGCAGGCTCAGTGGCCATGGCTCACGGGCCCAGCCGCTCCGCTGCATGTGGGATCCTCCCGGACCGGGGCACGAACCCGTGTCCCCTGCATCGGCAGGCGGACTCTCAACCACTGCGCCACCAGGGAAGCCCTACACTTTTAAAATAAGTGTATTTAAAAAATAAGAAGAAATGATGTATGAGAAGAAATGGTGTTATCCGATTTTTTCTTCTTTAAAATTTTCAAAATGAATTTGTTTCATTTTATCTTTGGTATAATTATTAAACCATTATTATTTAGCTTATCAGACTTATAGCACTTTGTACCTGTATAAATTTGTTATTGTTTTAAAATAGCATTTGAACTCTAAATATTATATTACTAATTAGAGAACATTTTATATTTTATATTTTAAATTTTATATAGGAATACTTAAATATGAATGGAAAAATAATAAGTACAATCAAGAAAGGAACTGTTTCATTTTTTAATGGGGACTGTGGGTTTAGCATTCTGGTTTTATAAATTTGGCCTGTGTTTATTCATATTAGGGCCATATTTTTAAGTAAATTAAACTGAGGAGGGGTGTCAGGTTTTCCTTTTCTTTCCCTTAAGTTCCTCTTGTGTGCTTATATACTTGTGGGGAAGATATCATATACATATTTATTCATTTAGTACGTTATTATTGAGCATTGATAAAGTGGCAGGCACTAGGTTGGGCACTTGGAGTGTATCACTTTAAGGAAAAAGAACTGACAATGGTTAAAACTGAGTTTTAAAGCAAAGAGTAGAATTTTGGAGAACATATCTGCCATCATGAGCCTCACAGCTTCCTACTGCTTAGTTTGATTTGTAGTGATAATGAATATGATTGTATGATGAATTGTGTCAATATTTGGAAGACCAGTATAACTTGGTGGACTAGTGTTTTCTAAACGAACAGTGAGTGATGTTACAAAATCATGCAGAGTGTAAAAGATTCATTCAGTGTGAAATACAGACCAGTGGACTTCACATAGCAGAGTACAGAAAGTTCATTGATAATGGTTTCAAATTCCACATTGCAGTTAACCTTTTAGAAAATGACCGTTTGTCAAATGCTGGTGTAGTATCAAAGAAAGACATCCATAACTTTCTGAATACTCTGCCCTTTCCCAGCTACACATCTGTTTGAACCAGACTTTTTTTTTCTATATTTCAATCAAAACAACATACCGTAACAGGTTAAAGCAGGTATGAGACTGGCTGTCTTCTGTTAAGCCAAAGATTAAAGAGACTTGCAAAGATGTAAAGCAGTTCTGCTCTTCACACTAACTTTTTTGTTTTAGAAAATAAAACTATTTTCATAAAAATATTAATGTTGCATGTAATGAGTCTATTGTTACTATTAAAGGAAGTAATAAGAATTTAAATTTTCTTTTCAGTTTCTAATACAGTAAACATTATAGATGTAATCTACATACACAAACTTTGTTGGGTGTATTTAAATATTAAAAGTATTTAAGGGTGTAAAGAGGTCTGAGATAAGAATTTGGAGAATTGCTGATTCAGAGGAATGACTGCACATCTGAAATACATGTTCGGGGTGAGATTATGGAAGAGCTCACATTTTATACTAAGAAACTGACACTTTACAGTAAACAGTAGGGAGTCAGAATATTTTTGAGCACAAAATGATATAATGAAAGCAGTACGTAACAGACATTAGAATTATCTGGAGGTGATAGATGTATAAGGTGGAAGGAGGGGGATGAGTAGAATGGGAGAGCAGTCACAGTGCATTAGCAGAAGGGCAGATGTAAGGTGTTAGGGCAGTTTGGGTTAGCTAAATGAGAGACAGAGACTTGTGAAGGCAGTATTGACCTACCTACTGATAGGATAAGGAGAGGGAACAGTCAAGTGTTAGGTTTGAGCTTCAATAACTGGTGTCAAGAGAAACGGATTTGTAGGGAA